TGCTCCCTGATATATTCTACCTCTACACCACGAATTCCGTATTTGGCTGAAGACGGAGTTTCCGGACTTGAGTGAAGAGAGTCTGGCGGCAAAGGAAAGCGAGTTGGACCAGAACTGCGGCTTGACCGTGCCGCGCTTGGCAAAGATATATCTACAGGGACAGTTTGAAGACGTTTTATGGCAGTTCATACGCAGCAGACGCAGCATGGCGATGGTGCTCCGGCGCGGGAGCCCGCAGCTGCTCGATGACGATGAAGAAACCGAGGGCGGTGACAAGGACCGTGCGGCTGGTGATGCAATCGGTTGGGTCTCAAGTCGCGTTGAGATGGAGATGTGCACCCAGAACCGTGGAGTCTTGCAGTGCTTGATCAGAGACTGGCCCCGAGCCACTCCCTACGTTTTTGAGGCGATGGCGCTCACTCAGGCCGTTGCGGAGGGCGGCTTGAAACTGAAATTCCGCGATGGAAGCGACCTGTGCCTTCAATTTGGTGGAATGTGTGAGCTCCACGGCGCCAAGACAATCAGGGACGGAGTGTTTTATCGTCCGCGTGGGGACAACTTTCCAAGTATAGACGCCTGTGGCATTCCGAACGGTGAGGAGGCCAAGAAGTTGTACTTCATCCAAATCGCAACAGGGCGTGAACACATCCGGATTCAGAAGAGGCATTCGGATCGCGTTGCAGTGCCAAAAGACTGCAATGGAGGAGTTGTTTGCCTGTATATAGTGCCCAGGACATGCAGTAGCCTAACATTGCAAGATGGACAGGACGCATTGAAGCACGAAGGCCGCACAAGTGGCAAGTCCGTCTGTGAACAAGTGGCCTGTGCTGAATCCATTTTGGACGGCCACCACTGAGTGCCATGCAGTTCTGAGGTGGCTTCGCAAAACGTCAGGCCGCGCCCAACCCTTAACCCTAAACCCTGAACCAAATTCTACAAGGGACCCCTTGCCTATTTAGGCTATTGGCACCTGGATAGTAGTAAGTATTGGGAATAAAATAGTTCTCCTAAGATAGGTATTAGGTTAGTGGGGCGGGTGGTGCCAATAGCCGAAAATAGGCAAGGTATACTCTAACTTAATAAACCCCTCAACTCTAAACCTATAGATCCCTTATAGACTCCTTAAAGGAACCCTTTAAAGGAACCCTACCCTAAACTCTAAACTGTGATAAGCCCCTCAACCAGGAGCTTGGGAGCTGGTGGTGGACCGGCCGAGGCACGCTGCAAGCTCCGTGAATCCAACAGGGGTCCTTTGAAAGAGCCTGAAAGTTAGGGTTCAGGGCTTTTGGGGCTTTTGGGGTTCAGGGTTTAGGGGTCAGGGTTTAGGGTTTAGGGTTTCGGGTTGAGGGTTTATGGTTTAGGGTTCAGGGCATTGAGGCTTAAGCCACAAAAACCTAGATCCTTCGGGTAGGACAGGACGAAAAGCGCACGCGAATCGTTCGTGGCACTCCGTGCTGGGGGGGCGGTGGCGGTGGAATGTTGCGTTGGAAACTCCTACAAGCTAAGAATGGTTTAAGGTTAGGGCGGTTTGGGCTTGGGGTAGAGGTATCCACAGAGAGCATGACCGGCCGCTGGTAGTGCCACATCAACAAGCCTGGCATGTCAGCGGGGTCGGTAGAGAGAGAGAGAGAGAGAGAGAGAGAGAGAGAGCGAGCGAGAGAGAGCGAGAGAGAGAGGCATGGATGGTGTCCGCAAGGCCCTAGCCTAGGTAAATCAGTCTAATTTGGCATGGAGAAGCCGAGAAGTGACATCAAGAGGTCTCACTCATCGGGAAGAGTCTTCTCAATGTGGTGTGTTGCGTACAGCCTCCAAACCGTAGTCGTCTAAGTAGTTAGGCCTATACTATTCGTGAACCGTAAAGTGGATTCTTGAACCTCCTGGGCACCGACGAAGGGAACATTTAGCAAGAATGCCACGCACCCGGCAAGGGCACTGATCATCAGGGTGCAATGCAAAGTTCTGAAGGATTTAACCTTTCTGGTTATTGCCGTATTTATGACTATACTATCGCTATTTGAAAAATAAGCTCACAGTAGTATGCCCGAAACTCTGTTGTGATTTAAAAGCCTATCCATTAAGAGGCTTCTGGGATTGACGAGGTTCGGACTAGCAGGGATGTTCAGTGTTCTGGGCCACCCCTGTCCCCTAAATTCCTGATTGTAAGTATGCTATGATGTACCGCGCAGCCCCTATCATAATCATTGAGGCCCGTGCACTGTGTCACTGCCGTCCTTTGTCTGCCACGGAACTTTCAAGGATGGGTCTGTGGTCGGCATCCGCTTTGGGCGGATCTACATGCCGGAATGCTTATATCGTCATCTTTGAGCATTCTTGTTCTGCCACATCTCGCCTATCACAACCTGTCTAGCCTCTGCGGTACCAAAGCCTGGAGGGTCCAGAGTCAGAGCCTTTAGCCCCTTTTTGCACGATGCTCCCGGCGGCCCCGCCCACGGTTTTGCGGCAGCGCGGCAGCGCGCCGCGCAGCATGCAAGGCCTCGCGGGTTCCTGGTGGTGGGTCATGGGGCTTAGGGATTCAGGGCTTTCGGGGTTTAGGGGCTTCGGGCTTTCAGAGTTAGCATTTTTTGGGTCAGGATTTCGGGTCTGGGGTGCAGGAGGCCTTGAAGGCTTTCTGTCACCCGCTGGAGACATTTCAGTTTTTAGAGCTTTAGGGCTTGGGCAACTTTGGGATTTAGTAGATCGATTGCACTGGTTTGGAAGCTGCCATGTGGACCAGATAGGGTTTATAGGGCTTAGGGGCTTAGTGTTGGGGTTTCCAAAATTAGGGTTGCCTCACTATAGGGCATCCAGGCTACAGCGAGCTTCTTGTCACTCAGCAGACTTCCCGTCAACTGAAACCTTAAAAACGACTCTGAACAGCGACCCCTGCCTGTTGGAGCCACTTCCGCGGCCAGCTGGCACGGAGCATTCCGAGGTGCCCCGCCGCTTCCTCCCGTCGCCGCCCCCTCCGCGGCTACCGCGACTGCTGCAGCCACAGCCTCTCGACAGTCACGGGGGGACCTTGATCTCGCCATCATGGTGGCCATACACTTGCGAGAAGACTCACCCCAGAGAACCCATATGCCGAGCGCCTCCTGCACCGCGAGATTGCCCACCTCGGAGTTTGAAGTCTCATTGCAAGGCGTTTGCTGCTGGTGCCGCTGTCGTGACAAGCCGCAATGGACCCCGGCCGACCAGGTCGCGTGTGGGTTCGGGTGCAGTGTTCAGGGTTTAGGGTTTGGGGTCTAGGGTTTAGGTTCAGGGTTGAGCGTATTTCGTTGAGGGGTTGATTTCTTCAGGATTCAGGGTGGGTTGTACTGAATTGCTCTTCCGAGGAGCCTTTGAGAGGTCTGTAAGTGTGGGGTTTGGGGTGTCCAGTGACTGGTGTTCTGCTTTACTATAACTTTACAGGCTTTGCATGCTTTCGCATAGCCCGTGCAAGTGCTCGCGCTTATTGGCACTAATCCGTAGACGCTAAACCCCGACCCCGAGAACATACAAGATGATGTATACCTAGACCCTCCGTCTAACCTCTATGAGAGAGCGAGGGGCTAAGTACCCATAATACCCTAAACCCTAAACCCATTATCTGGGACCATATACCCCCAGTAGGTGCATGTAATGTGGGACCCCCCTGTTTGAGTGCATAAGGAGGGTCCTGGTATACTTTCACGAGGCGGTCTTGGGATTGACTTTCTCGTTTCCAGGCGCCGCCTACATGAGCCCTGTCGGTTTTCTTGACGGATCCTGGTCAGATCCGTCTTTACCGGCTTTATGGCTTAGGGTTAAGCCGGGGGGATTCAGGGCCCGGATCTCTGAACACAAGCCAACTAGTCCTGAGGCCACGCCTATGTTGATGAAGCCTTCAGCCCCTAAACCCAAAACGACCGAAGCCACAGCTCCCAGAATTCTATCCCTAAACCCTAAACCCTACTGACCCTAAATCCAACACCTCGAAGCCAAAAGCTCAAAGACCGCATTTCCCCCGGCCTTCCTCCCCCGCCATCCCCCGGTGCAGTTGCAACGCTGCGCGTGCGAGCGACAGCCCAAGGTGCGAGCCGAAATTCCATTCCTTGGGGCTCCTCGTTATAACTACTATGCATGGGCTTTAGGCTTTAGGGGTTTGGGTTTAGGGGTTTAGGGGTTTAGGCTTTAGGGTTTAGGGTTTCTGGTTTAGGGAGGCTTCCTTGTTATAACTGCCGGTAGCATAATATGTTCCAAGCCCCATTACAATCAGATCATGGGGTGCCTTATTGTGACGAGTACAATGTACCCCAAATCCTGTTGCCATGAGCAAGGTACCCATATAAACCCTAAGCCCTAAACCCTAAGCCCTAAACCCTCAACCCTCAACCCTAAACCCTGAACCGTTCCTTATCCTAGGTCCGTCGTTGTCGTCGTCGAACTCGCATTGCTTGATGTTGTGTACCTGGGATCCGATAACCCTAAACTCTACCCATAGGCCCCTCAGTAGTTCCTTTTTTAGGGTTTAGGGGTTCCTTAAAGGGATCTATAGGGTATCTATAGGGTTTCTATTACCCCTAAGTAGTTCCTTTTTATGGGTTTACGTTTAGAATCCTATAAGGTAATCCCCAAAAAGGAACTAAGTGTTTAGGGGTTAGGGTTTAGGGTCTAGGGTTTAGGGTTTAGGTTCAGGGGTTTCAAGTTGCTGGCAACTCATCGATGCAACATCAAGCTGCTCGAAAAGGTCCAACAAATCCAGCAAGCATGGAGCAAGCGATCGTTAGACCCCCAAAACTACCCTAAACTCACAACACACGGGACAGATCCCTGGTTGCGTAGTTAAGACCAACAACGCGAAACAAGTTAGATCCCAAGGCCTTTGTTTCTTTTTGCGCCACACTCATCAAAACCCTCACCCTAAACCGCAACCTACTATAGCCCCTGAATCCAAGTTGAGTTTTCCGAAACTACGACCCTCAGAGAGGCCGGTAGTCTTCGAATCCCGAGTACCAGGTTTGGGGGGTTTCGGTTAGAGCCGCCAACCAAAGCGATGGTGCTCCGCTGGATCGGCCTCGTGTCGCTCTTTGGCGCAGCGTCTGCGCTCAGTACAGGCCGCGGCTCAAGACACCCGGGTTTTGGGCGTTAGGGGAACTAGCTCGGTGCCTTCTTCTGCTGACGGATGGGTTGAGTCGAAGGAGTAGCTAGTCATAGACCATGTTGTTTAGACTTCTGGATTTCGGGTTTAGGGAATATTTTACCAGCCTTTAGAGGCTTTGGCGCGTGTAGCATAATGATGTGGGACCTTGAGGAGGGCATTCTTACTCAATTGTTTTTTTTTGCCCTCTTACACAGTTATTGCTTCTTTGCGAGGTTCTATGTTTACAAGACAAGAAGGCACACTCTACATGGCTTCCTGGCTTTGAAACGCCGTACCTTAAACCCCTAAACCCTAACCCCTAAACCCTAAACATCTAAACCCTTAAACCTTAAACCCCTAAACCCTGAACCCCTAAACCCTAAACCCCTAAACCCTAAACCCGTAAACCCTAAGCCACTCGACACCGTCACCGCAAGCGTGAGACCCTGAAACCCTCGAACCCTGAGCCTTCCACACTAAACGGTTCAGGGTTTAGGGGTTAGGG